TCAGGCTCACTTCTGCATAGAAACCAATCAGCTTCTAACCTCAGCTTGTTTAATCAAGCTTTGGTATTAAAACCTGGAAGCTGATTGGTTTCTATGTGGAAGTGAGCCTGATATTGCACTTTCCAGCTTTAGTAAAAAAAACCAATGGAACAACTAGACACTTTATAGTGAGTTGGGCTCAAGATAACAACAAAAAGCCTCTCCCTAATTAATGAGAAATAAAGTACATCCTTCTTTCCCTGTTGGATCATACTGAGGAAAAAAATGACTGCCTTCATTTGAATCTCTTATAGATTTAGGATTTTATTTAATTCTATGTGCACATCTTTTTTTCAGTCTGACAACCTATGTGCATTACAAAACCAAAATCAGATACACCATGCTCTAAAAAGTGCTACCTAATAATTTAACCTAAGACAGCCACCTTCACTAATATTTTACACACAAACATATCGAATAAATTAATATATCCCTTTAGGTGAATGAATAGATAAATACATAAATTATTATTAAATTAAAATGAATAAATAATCATAAAAATCCAGAAGTGCATGAAACCAATAAAATCAAAGTGCACCAGGGGTGCTATGTGTCACTGTACATAAACTTAGACATCCATGAGCCAATGTCTTAATAAATAAAAAGTTCATCCAAAAACAAAAGTGCATAAATCTTCTACCAGCACACCACCACTGTGCATCAGCCACCAGGGATCCACACTGCTGCTTACCGGAAAGCTAGACCTCCGGGGGCAAAGAGGTCTAACAGAGCTGTATGGGAGAAAAACCCAAAGGATGAATTAATGGTGGATAATCAAAGCACAGAACACCAAACAGAATGTCAACTGCTTGCACAAGGAAAAAAGGAAGGGGAATCGCCATAATACAGTATATTAAAGAACTATTTATTAGAACTAAGCATATACTCACATATAGGCAACAATACACAGCATATCAAAAAGTCGTCCTCCAAACACCCTGGCAGGCATGATGACATCACCATGTTAACTCCGTCCTACGCATTTCGTCCAAAAGGACGTCTCCACAGGGGCTTACGGAGATGAGGTTACATGCTTTCATGCACTTGTGGATTTTTAGTTATTATTTAGTAATATTGATTTAAAATGTATTCATTCACTTAAAGGGACAGCATTGCACATTACTTTACTAACCTATGTGCACTGCAGTAATGATCAATGTTGCGCATTAATAGTCTATAATAAAGTGTTTAAAGCCCCCTTTCTGTAAGTTGTGAAAATATTTAGTTTTTTTGTTTTTTGTTTGCTATCTTGCAGACACATTTTTGTCATTACTCCCCTGTACATTGTAATAGTCTCTCTCTCCACAAACCACTTGCAATACAAGCAGGTGTGAGTTGGATTCTGTGAGGGCTTCTTCGCACTGTAGAAAAAAAGAGGGGCTTGGCAGTAGGTTTTGAACCCCAACAAGTGCTCACCAAACAATTGGTATTAAAGAGCATCTGTTGTGGGGAGCTGGGATGGGACTGCTTCAGCTATAAAGTGCTGCACATTCCTGCAACAGGCTCCCAACCCTTCACTTTAGAGTTGTTCTGGCACTCTTGGCAATGCCAAAGTTTACTGCTAAATTCTGTCCTCACATATTCCTACTGGCCCATTACTATGTTGACCAACCGCATTAGCCAAAAAAGAAAGTGCAAGAGGAAGGAAAAAATACACTTGTCAGAACAGCCTGATATTTGGCCTGAAGAAAGGTTTAGGAGGCCAAAGTACATATACTCTATGCAGGCACTTCCAGATGTCTGTCCTTTATCCTGCAGCAGTTTGGCCCTTCTTCTTGAGACAGCAAGAGTGTGGTAAAATGTGCTCAGTACACTAGTGGTTGGGTATGTAGGATGTTGCAACATGGCGGTCTGAATACTATGAGTAGCATTTGGGCCTCAGCTGCCTTATGCCCTCCAGTGGCACTCTAACGGCAGAAAGGTTGGATACTGCCTGAATAACACACCCTGCCTTGCTCTTCTGCAGCCAATATTGTGTGAACATAGCCTAAAGGCAACTACTTCACTCTCGCTGAAATGTGGGGTGTTGAGATTTGGCCAACACCTAGAAATCTACGTTGCTTGGAGAGACCAAGAGAAGTGCTCATGGGTCCTGTGGTTTTATGTAGATGTCAACTTATATGGCACACCAATTAAACAACCTTACCACAAAAACTCTTGCAATCAATTAACAATAAACACTTATAGCATGTAATACTCTAGGTTGTCTCCACTTCTCACCTTGGGTCTGCTTGGGATCATGAAAGCCTATGAGTGTGTGCGGACAAGTGAGTAGGTAAAGAAAGGCAATGTGAAATGTGTTGAAGGTCCCAGGCTTCACCAGCTGTTGGATTGCTGTGGTCTTTAATGGGGTCAAGCTGTGGCTCTGAAGACACATTGGACCTTAAAGTAACCTAAATTTTGTGCAAATTTCCATATTTAAAGGTGCACTTTAGTTAAATATGACAAAACTGCATTCAGATCGAATCAGCGCACAAACAACTTCCCTATGAGTGGCTCTAATTTTCAATCTGGCGTTCACATTGCGCTTTTGGCTGCCCTCTAGCTAAATCCCTATTATTGCCAGTATCCTTATCTTTTGAATGGTACTAAATCTGAGCTTGCAGAATCACTTTATGGGAAAAGATGTATAAATTATCTAATGTTCGCATAGTCGCCAACATTTTAAAATGATTACCAGGGACCCTTTGATGTTGAGCCTGTGCATCTCAGATGGATCGCAGGCAAAACTGTCTCAGAGGACAATGCACCACTGCATTCCCCATTACTCCATGTCTCCTAAATTGGATTATAAAACACTATTTGCGTTCCAAATGTTGGTTTTGAAAAAACATTAACTTAAAAAAGCCAATGGAAAATTTAAAAGGGATGAGGATTTATTCTAAAAGAAAAGCAACTCCAGACTGATAGTTATATTGGGACTGTATATACAAGCCATGTTACCTACCAAAGGATCTGCAGTTCCATTCAGCCAGTCTCAAGATTTACACATCTCTGTCACACTGCACAATCAGACAGGTGAGACCTCTATTTCCTGTTTCAGCTTTGCAGGTTCTCCGCTATCTGCTTGTGGAATTGCCAGTTTAATGGGGCTCATTAATTGTTGACATAGGTGACACTGAGGTGACATAGCTAGTTGAAAATGTAAAAAAGGAAATCATTGTATCAACTCTTTGTGTGGAGCGCCAGGAGTGTGTTAATCTCAAAAGTCACTGAACCGCATTACACATTCTTTGGCAGGTAAAACAGTTCACTATAAATATCAACATGCATTCCAATTTAAAGCCCAACTCCAGAAAAATGTAAAATGATCCTTAGCATTGCAGGTGCAACCCCATTGTAAAAAAAAAAAAAGATTATATTATGTTAAAAAGGTATATCTTCTTAAAACGAAGTTCCAGTTGAATTAAAAAAAAAAAAAAAAAAGTCAGCAGCTACAAAACTGTACCTGCTGACTTCTAAAATACAGACACTCACCTGTTCCTCGGTCCAGCAGTGCCCTCACCACCACTGGTTTCACTGGCCATCTTCTCTCCCCAGCGCCGACATCTTTAGTGTGGGCACCCAGCTGTTACAGCTTGAGGCTTCACAGCCGGGTGCCCACTGCGTGTGCGCAAGTAGCGCTGCACTTTGTAAATGGTCTCATAGTCTTCTGGACCTGTCACGTGTCCCACAAGACTACAGGGAGGACAACTTCCACATCAGATCACCTCAGGCAATTGCACCGGACGTGGGAGCGGGTACCTGTCAATTTCAGGTACCCGCTCCCCAAAGGTGCCAATGCCTAACGGGGAGCGGGGGACAAGCCTTAAAGCAGAACTTCCCCTTTTGGGTGGAGCTCCGCTTTAACATAATATAATCTTTTTTTACACATCTTATTTATGATGGCCCTTGATTTGACGGCATGTGGGTGGCGGTGTTACTAGTCTTTTCTTGTCAGTCCACTATGAGTTCACCCCCGACTTGCCCCTGGTCTGCCTAATACTGTGTGACTATTTAAACCAGTATGGGTAGCCCTAGAGTTAACCTTAGGAAAGACGTAAGATACCTTGAAACATGCTCTATTGAGCATGTCTGAGGATGACATCAGAGGAGGGTGGACCCTGGTTTTGTGGCCACTGGTTCTGGCCTTTCAGTGGTCCAGTCAATCTCCATGCTCTGTTATCACTGGATCATCTATCCTTTCAACTGAAGCACCTGTGTCCCTATCACAGGTTGCCGACTCCCTCACTACGCAATGACCCAGCGGTAGTGCCCCATCCATCTGTTACTTTAACCCCATGTGAGCCCATTTCTTATGTTTTTTAATTAAGTTTTCTGGATTTACCTTAATACACTATGCATGTTTTGTGTTTGCATATATTCTCTCCTCTTTTTGAATTAGATGGAGCTAGCCCTCCAGATCAACTGGAAGCATTCCATGTTTAGTTAGATCAATCATTTCCTATTTAGTGTTGGGCTACCCATAAACCTGTGTTCTCAATGTTGTGCTCATTTCTGATCTTACTGACTACCTGTTACATTCATTGTCTTATATTTTAAAGCATTTCTTATGACATGGTTGGGTAGTTTTCAAATATGGCTGGTATGATGAGTGCTGTTAATCTTGTGGAGGTTATCATGAGATATTACTTTTTGTAGCTTTCTTTTTATTTGCTTGTTTTATCTAGAGCAGTGGTCTCCAAACTGCGGCCCTTGGTCCAGTTGTGGCCCTTTGCATGCCTTTATACAGCCCTTGGGGAACTGTTCCTCCCACTGATATGGGGCACTATTCCTCCCACTGAAACCAATAATGAGGCGCTGGTTCTCTCACTGACACCAATGATGGGGTACTATGCCTCCCACTGACACCAATGATAGGGCACTATTTCCTCCCACTTACACCAATGAGGAGGCACTATTCCCTCCACTGACACCAATGATGGGGCACTATTCCCTCCACTGACACCAATGATGGGGCACTATTCCTCCCACTGACACCAATGATGGGGCACGGTTCCTCCCAATGACACCAATGACAGGGGCCTCATTGCTCCCACTGAGACCAATGATGGGGCACTATTCCTCCCACGGACACCATTGATGAGGCACTGTTCCTACAACTGACACCAATGATGGGGCACTATTCCTCTCACTGACACCAATGATGGGGCACTATTCCTCCCACTGACACCAATGATGGGGCACTATTCCTCCCAATGACACCAATGATGGGGCCTCATTGCTCCCACTGAGACCAATGATGGGGCACTATTCCTCCCACTGACACCATTGATGAGGCACTGTTCCTACAACTGACACCAATGATGGGGCACTATTCCTCCCACTGACACCAATGATGAGGCACTGTTCCTACAACTGACACCAATGATGGGGCCTCATTACTTCCACTGTCACCAATGATGGGGAAATATTCCTTCCACTGACACCAATGATGGGGCACTATTCCTCCCACTGACACCAATGATGTGGCACTATTCCTCCCACTGACACCAATGATGTAGCACAGTTCCTTCTGCTACTGAATTCCTCATCCTACAAATTTTTTTATACCCACTGAACACCAAGCCTGAGACATATTATACTCCTACTGGCCATAGTCGTGCCCCCCCTAAAGTCTGAAAGACAGTAAACTGGCCCTTTGTTCAGAAAGTTTGGAGAACCCTGCCCTAGCGGATAGAAAAAACACTTTTACCATCTAATCCTGTGCTCCATCGGCAGATGGCATTCCCCCATGCTTTGGTGGTGGACTGTCCCTGATCAACACATCCAATGTAGGCTTAGGCTTGATGACATTAGCATTCTAGACCACTAAAGATTGGGAGAGAAGAGGCTGCGGGGATCAGTCTAGGTGCAGGGAGGAGCGGAGATGGGCATTAAGGGAATTTGTACAATGAAGAATATGCAGGCAGTTTTTCCTTAACCACTTGCCCTCCTGAGGATTTACCCCCCTTAATGACCAGGCCTCTTTTTGCTACTCGGTGCTGCACTAATTCAACTGATAATTGCGCGGTCATGCAATGCTGCACCCAAATGAAATTTACAGCCTTTTTTTCACACAAATAGAGCTTTCTTTCGGTGGTATTTGATCACCTGTGCTCTTTTTTATTTCTCACGCTATAAACAAAAAAAGACCAAAAATTTTGAAGAAAAACAATATTTTTTACTTTCAGCTATAAAAAATATATAGTAAACTCAAAGTTAGTTATAAATTTAGGCCAAAATGTATTCTGCTACATGTTTTTGGTAAAAAAAATCTCAATAAGTGTATATTGATTGCTTTGTGTGAAAGTTATAGCGTCTACAAACTATGGTATAAATACTGCAATTTACGCCATTTTTTTGCTATACAGCGCTGCGCTAGTTTAACGGACAATTGCGCAGTCATGCAATATGGTACATAAATGAAATTTACATCCTTTTTTCCCACAAATTGAGCTTTCTTTCTGTGGTATTTGATCGCCTGTGGATTTTTTATTTTTTGCGCTATAAAAAAAAAGGCTGACAATTTTGAGGAAAAAAAAAAAACAATATTTTGGACTTTTTGCTATAAAACATGTCCAGTAAAAAAAAAAAAAAATCAAATTTAGTCATAAATTTCTGCCAAAATGCATTCTGCGACATGTCTTTGCTAAAAAAAAAACCCAATACGTGTAAATTAATTGGTTTACGTGAAAGTTATAGCGTTTACAAATGGCGGGGAAAGATACTGGATTTAAATTTTTTTTTTATACTAATAATGGCAGCGATCAGTGACTTATGGCGGCGATCAGCAACTTATGGCAGGACTGACTGCGGCGGACAATCTGACACTGGGGGGAACTGACTTGGGGTCACTGACATCCCCAGTGACACCAATACAGTGATCAGTGCAAAAAAAAAAAAACACTGACACTGTAATAATGGCACTGGGGAGGAAGGGGTTAACATTTCTATTTACTGAAAGGGTTAACTGTGTGAGGGGAGTGTTTTACTAGGGGGCGGGGGTGTGTACTGCACAGGAACACACTGATCCTGAGAGATAAACTCTTCTCTCCGGATCAGTATGTCAGGAGCTGACAGGGGACTGACAGAAAGCACAGCTGCAGTGTAAACACTGCAGCGCTCTCTGTCAGTGATTGCCGCTAATCTCCGGGACATGGTAGGTAATGACCGGCCGTGACCCGGCGACTGACATCCACGGCTGCGATCGGCGGGACGGGTAGGGCGGGCACACGCCTCGCGCACCCCCTACCTGTTTTGCAAATGCACGTTTTAAAACATGGTGGTTTGCCCAGCCGTGCCGACCTGCCACCGTATTTCTACAGTGGCTGGTCTGCAAGAAGTTAAAATATCTCGGTTCCTTGTCCTCAATCTTTCAGACCAGTTGAAATACTGAGGTCAGAGACAGACAGGCATCTAGCATACTCAGAGGGGCCAGCAATACCAGCTTGCATAGTTATCTTAGGACACTCAGGACAAGTTCTCTTTCACTCTGCAGCTGGTAAGATTTACACATCAAATATGTATATTATTCAAAACCTAGCAGGTGATTTATTAAATATAGACTACTGTATATATTTAAGATTTTTCCTTTCATTTTCTCAATACCCCTTTTCTCTCCTTACCAGCCAGAATGTTTCTGGTGTGTGATGGACTCTGTACTGTGCTTGTAATGGGATATGCATTTTGATGTGTCAGAGAATTCTAAGTTGTATGTGAACTGTACGAGTACATTGGGGATGAATGTGAATATAAAAATGTATACGGTCCCTAAAACTTCCTCCACAAGGGAGGCATTTAACGCACAATTAAAACACGAGAAAGCTTGGAGGCAGTAGAGTTCTGTGTGTATTGCTGAAGAGATCTACAGATATCAAGACCAGAAAAGTGAATTGGTAAAAAGTGTATCTATATCCAAAAAGAACAAATGTAATATTATGCAGTTTACCAGTCCTTACATGTGATCTACATTTGGGTCTTTTCAACTTTTTTTCTTTTATTTTCACCAGGGGAATCTGATAGTAACTCACTTCCTGTCCTAGGATGACAACGCTCACGCACTCTTTTGTATCAGAGCAAAAGAAACAGGATAGGACTACAGAACCCAAGATCCCTTTCCTCTTCTAAATAACACAGTAGGGTGTGGTTCTGTAGTCCTCATGGATACCTAAGAATATTGCAATTTATAGCACAGGCAGAAAGTTATCAACTCACAAACTTTCTGGCATGATCATCTGGTATTCTTTGGACTTGTCAAATAGATATAAAACAATTTCACTTCAAACTAGAGATGTGCACGACGGAAAAATTCATTTTATTTCATTTTGGATTAGTTTAAGTTAATAATTTCATTTCATCATATTCGTTATGCTAGAATGATTCGTTTTTGGAATTTGTTTGTATATTCAGATTAGTTTCGTATATTTATTGTTTTCTAATTGAATTTTATTATTTATTTGAAATTAAAATTTTATTAAATCTATTCTATTGTTTTCTATTCTGTACTATTCTTTTCTTTTTCTACCCTTGTTCTATTCTAATTGATTCACTTTTGTTCTGTTTTATTATATTTTATTTTTTCCATTTTTTTTTTTTCTTGTCTATTTTACTCTATTCTATCCTTTTGTATTCCTTTCTATTCTAATCTATTTTCTTTTTTTATTCATTTCACTTTTATACCTTACTGTATTTATTGCAATATGTTTCCATTTTGAATGTGAATTTATTTTCGAATTCAAATTCATATTCAAATTCATTCATTCAAACTCATTTTTGAATTCTGATAATTTGTTTTGTTATATTTTATTTTGGATTCGTTGAAAATCATTACTATTGTGATTCGGAAATCCAGATACATCCCAACCTCCGAATAACAAAAATTTTATCCGAATTTCGAATCATAACGAAACGAATCACAAATGTCTACTTCAGACTACGTTAGGTCCCATTCACAGTTGCCTACACACTAAACTGCAGTGGTTTAGTGTGTGGACAGCACTGTTTTGGGCTGCAGTTCCCTGTGATGGGCTTTTTATCACATCACACAGCTCTCTTTTGATGTGTACATGCATTCAAGGCAGGCATTGATGTATGTATGTATGTATGTATGTGTACATGGGGGCAAGGAGTTTGACATTTTTTGTGGTTTTTTTTTTTTTTATTTCATATATGTTATTTCAATTTTTTGAAGCCAACAGTTGGTTTGCGAAGTGTAAAATGTAAAGCCCTGAAAGGGAAGATGGGTTAGATAAGAAAATGCAGTAGGAAATCATATGAAGCTAACAGATCAGTTGGAACAGGTTGCTGAGACGCTAAAGTGAATAGGTGAACTGGCAACTGTAAGCCCTTTCTAGCATGCAAAGACTCTAGCTAGACCATTGGCCAGGGTGTCACAAATATTCTGCCATTTGGGTCCTTAGTCTCTGGATATGTATCTTGATCAAGTGTTTTTGTAATTCAAATATGGTGAAGAAGATACTTCCAAAGGAAAGGGTCCTGGGCTATCTTTAATTGGCAATAAAGTTTACCCAAAGCAGGCAGTCAAAGAACACAGGAGTCCAAGAGGCATCTCAGCCTTCCCTTGACGCTGGTTGAGCCTTGTCCCTTAAAAGTAGAAATTCTGGAAGAACCCTTTGCACACCACTATATACCCTTTCCAGCAAACTTTGCAAGAAAAAATAGGGATTTGCATTTAATTAATATTGCAATACACATTTAAGCAGACCAACTGTGTCAAAGTAATTCCTTTTGGCCAGTTCTACTGTGCTCTGCCTATGCAAATGCCACTCTGGACGCAATGCCAACATGGGGCAAACAGACACAAAATGGGGGAGAGCTACAAGGTTTAGGTCTGGCTACTGACCTGCAATGCAACAGAAACAAGACATATTGTACCTGTGCTCAAATCCCAACAGCGTTTATCTATCAGGTGCTAAAGGGGTGTAGCCACATGTTAACATTAGAAATTCTGGAAGAACCCTCCGAACACTTCTATATACTCTTTCCAGCAAACTTTACAGTAACAAATGGGATTTTTAGTGTAAACATATTGAAATGTCAGGATTTCTAGTGTTAACGTGTTTACACCCCTTTAGCACCTGATAGATAAACGCATGTACAAGCTATTGGGATTTGAGCACAGGTATATGTTGTTTCTGGTCTCATGAAAGGGCCAGGCGAAAGGTCCTGCCCTGCACTCAAGGCTCCTCTCTTATACCAGCATTCTTATGGCAGCGGCACCATGTGGTCCTCTCCATCAGGAGTCAGGAGAAGAAGCATTGTCTCATGATTCAGGAAAAACAGCAGTCTCTTTCTCTGAGTCAAATGAAGCAGCAAATCATTGCAATAAGCAGAGACACCAGGTTCTCTGACTGCTCAGCTCACTCTCAGCCTTGTCTCCAGAGTGCACAGCTCACTAACCTGGGCCCATTGCTCTTCTCCAGCAGTCCTCTCACAACCTGCCCAATGCAACCTTCCTCCCTGCTCTGTAGGCCCCCCCACCCCACTGTCAAACCTTCAGCATGGGCTCTCTTCTTCTCCTCATCAGACGTTGGAGGATTTATAGTTCCCAGCTGCTCAGCAACCAATTAGGGTTCTCCATTTCCCATTGTAAG